GTCCCCCTCCCTGCCCTGCCGCGCCCGGGTTGCGGGACGGGACGCTGCACCACCTCCTGCACTGCTGTGCCCACGGTGCGGGACGCCAGCAGGACGGGATGGGGCACTCTGCTGCACCCCTTCCTGCTCCACCGTGCCCGCGGTGCGGGACGGGACGCTGCACCTCCTCCTGCACTGCCGTGCCCAGGATGTGGGACGGGACGGGATGGGATGCTGGACTGCCTCCTGCACTGCCGTGCCCGCGGGACGCCAGCAGGACGGGATGGGACACTCCGCTGCGCCCCTTCCCGCTCTGCTGTGCACGAGGTGCAGGATGCTGGCAGGATGGGATGGGACACTCCGCTGCACCCCTTCCCACCCTGCCGTGTATGTGCTGCGGGACGCCAGCGGGACGGGACGGTCCGCTGCACCCCTTTCCATGCCACTGTGCACGGGGTGCAGGACGCCAGCGGGATGGGACAGGATGCTCCACTGCACCCCTTCCCGCGCTGCTGTGCCCGGGGTGCAGGACGCCAGCGGGAAACGCACGGTCTCTTCTCCAGAGGCCAAAATAGAAACAAAACTCAAGTGCACAGATTTGAAAGATGCACTCAAAACATCAGAGCTGGCTGAAATATTCCTGTCAAAACATGCTTTTTAGTGAAAACAAATCTTCCCATGATTTTTTTTCCCCTCGTTAATGAAATTTTACAGATTTTCTTTAATCAAAAAAAAATGGTGCTGTAAAACGTTGTAATGAGAACAAGATTTGGGTTTTTTTCTCCAGCTATAGGTTAAAAAACAAGAGTTTCCAAGAAAGGTGGGTAGATGGGGGAAAACAAAACTCCTACAATTTTTTAAAAACTCATGAAAAACAAGTGATGTTTTCCAAATACCTCTACCAAGCGCAGTCACTCCAGTCCATAACCTCTTCATCGCAGCCTGGAAAGAGGAAATCTCAGGCCCGATTTCCCGCAGTGACGGAGAACTTCTGGGTCTGCCTGCCAGACGCGAGGAAAGCACCGCTTTCCAGAAGGAGATGGCGCCTCGCCACCGCCTCGTCCCCCGAAATCCCAGGCCCGAGACCCCACCGGCACACGGCCAGCGCAGATGCCGAAGACGGGCGTTCACGGTGAGCGGTCCCGCGCCGCGGT